CATTATTGATTATGGCAAACATCTCATCTGGAATTATCGGGTTTTCGATAATTAATGGGTTGGTGTTGACTATCATATTCCATTAATCATAATTTTGATAAGGGCAAGGATTACAGATTACAAAGATTGATGTATTCAAACGTATCAATTGAATTCACAATTTTTAAGTTCTATATTGATATTTTTTAAATTTTTTTGCCATTCTTTATTGTTTCTTATTGATTGTTTAGTATTTTCCTTATTGTAATTGTTGATGATGGAGCTCTAAAAGTACGGCGCAAGGAAATTTTAACCCTGTAAAAAAACTCGATCCATGATTTGAAGTTCCATGTTTTCTCCAGAAATGCATCATATACAAAATCACAGAAAGATTACAGGTGGAAAGTCGGTTCGCAAATTCGTGGAAATTTTCACGAGTGTTTCTGAAATTAATAATGTATTTTTTTTTTAATAGGGTAATTAATCTCCATTCTAGGGTAGCCAGTCATCTAGGTATTGTGAGTCAGATTGTGTGAAAATATTTAACATGAAAAGCCTCAATTGCTTAATATGAACTTTTTCAAGATATTGAAGAAGGCTTTTAAAGCAATTCTATCAATTTTTGATCTATAAATGATTTAGTAGATGCGATCCGTGGATGATATTTTGATCGTCGGGAAATTTCTAAAAAGGTTAGTTAACCGAAAAAACTTATTATTATTATTTAACACGTCTTGCGCTTTGTCTTTGAACAGTCGAGTAAGCACGACTTGCATACTAGGCGAAGGTTTCTTTATAAAAAAAAAAATAGTTAACATAATAATTGAAATAAATTTATCGTCGTGATTTTGTGATTTTTGGGGTTTAAGCAATTCGTCTTTAAAATGTTAAAAAGTCGTCAATATCTACTTCGGCATTAAATAAGTGAAAATTGTTCTCCAAACCAAAATAGAGTTGATTTAAACTCAGTTTGTATACAACCAATTGGAAATCGTTCCCTCTCCCTTTAAACCTTTAGAATTTAGTTTATAAAAAACATTTTGAGCTTTGTTTCATCTCTAAAAACACTTTTTGGTTTTTCTACTAAATTCTTTTGCTCTTTGTTAACATATTTTATGAATGCATTCATCTATTAAACTAAATTTATGGATTACCGTTGCTGTTGCTGTATTTTTAATAATCTTTATATATGATGATGTTTGTTAGATTATCTATTCAATTCACCCGAATCTGGCGGATGTATTTTTTGTGTGATTATCGGATGACGGATTAAATTTTAGAGTGCAGGCAGGACCTTTTAACTCAAAAATAATAAATATCAAAATATCATCCAATCCACCTTTAGATTTTTTCTTTTTGTTGCACTAATATATTTTGTCACATCGTGACGACAATCTTGACATCATGATGTACAACTATATAACTTTAAAATATATATATGCATGACACATCTCATTATGATGACATTTTCAAAAATTCCCGTTATACTAGTATAACTTTGTATAATTACTATGATTTTCGAGCCAATAGAATTTGTGATAATTTGGGTGACGATCATCACAGAAAAAATTTACCATATATATCCATTATCAATGGTGAGAGAAATTTTGTATGACCTTTAAAAGTATAGAGGACTCACTTGTAAAGGTAGGCTTTTTTTTATAATATTGATTTTAATTTTAGGTTCTGTAAAGAAATAAGAATTATGGCTTTATTTGAAATTTGAGTTTTTACATGTTCTTAAACGCGAAGGAAATTTCCTAAACTGTTAAAAATAAAAATACCCGAGGAAATATTGTTTGCAAATCATTGCTAATTATGAAAATCTTGAATTTTGATAAAAAAATTTTTTTTACGCGCATGATCGTGTTTTTTTTCCTTCCCAGCTGTCTTTTCGACAAACTGGGCAGTAAACTTTTTTTAGCAAAAATAGCTTTTTATTATTTTTTTATTTTGATTAAATTTAATTCTTTTCTTCAAATAAATAAATAAATATTTTTTTTTAGAATAAACATAAATAAATAATTTTTACATTATTTATCCTACATAGCCATCTTTCTTTAAACAATTATACTTACATTTACATAAGGAAAGATACATACATACATACATACATACATACATATTAATATTTTTCTCCAAAATAAAGTAAAACAAATAAAAGATGAAATATATTTTAGTATCAGGAGGCGTAATGTCTGGAATTGGTAAAGGTATCTTTGCCTCCTCATTAGGTTTCTTGTTAAAAACCCATGGTTTAAGAGTCACTGCAATAAAAATTGACCCTTACATGAATATTGATGCTGGAACTATGAGTCCTATTGAGCATGGTTAGTTCAATAAAAATAAAATCAAAAAAACTTATCAATAATATTTTGTTCACACGTCTTATATTTTTTATTTTCTTTTTTGATAATGATAATCTTGGAAAATATTGAATAAATATATAAACATATCCTATACCTTGCCTATCCATTCACATATGTTAACATTAATGATTAGGTGAAGTATTTGTGTTGAATGATGGTGGTGAAGTGGATCTCGATCTTGGTAATTATGAAAGATTCTTGGATGTTACTCTTACAAAAGATAATAATATTACCACTGGAAAGATATATCAAAAAGTTATTAACAGAGAGGTAAGTATTAATAACAATTAATGATGATGGATGGGTGATCCTTTAAATAAATTATTTTAACTAATTTGATTAAATAATTAATTAGAGGAAAGGCGAGTATCTTGGAAAAACTGTTCAAGTGGTACCACATATAACTGATGCAATTCAAGAATGGATTGAAAATGTATCCAAAATACCTGTTGACTCAAGTGGTCAAGAACCTGATGTTTGTATAATTGAGGTAGGTATATGTGTTATATATATGTGTGCAAAAAAGTATACATTAAGAGAATAAATTAATTCTTAATTCCTAAAAAAAAACTAAAGCCATTAACATAATCCTATAGTTGGGTGGTACAGTTGGTGATATTGAATCTGCACCATTTATTGAAGCAATGCGACAATTTCAATTTCATGTTGGGCATGAAAATTTTGCTTTGGCTCATGTTTCATTAGTTCCTATAGTTGGTCCAGTTGGTGAACAAAAAACAAAACCTACTCAGGCCACAGTCAGAGAATTAAGAGCTTTAGGATTGTCACCTGATTTGGTAAATTTTTATAATCTTTTTATTATAAATTTGTTTTTTTTAAAAAAATTAAAAGGTTTTTTAAACTTTTTTTAGATTGCATGTCGTTGTTCACAATCATTAAATCCCGATGTTCGAAGAAAGATATCAATGTTTTGTCATGTTGGACCAGAACAAGTATATACTAGTAAAATAATATATTGTATCTAATAATAAAATAATAATTTTATTCTTATTAATAACATTATTATTCAAATAAATATAAATAAGGTTGTTTCAGTAAAGGATGTATCTTCAACATACCATGTTCCATTGCTTTTATCAGAACAAGGAATATTGGCCTTTTTTATTAGACGGCTTAATCTGGATACTATTAATATCAAACAAGAGCGTCGTAACAATGGTTTATATTTGTTGAGAGAATGGATAATGTTGACTGAAGAGTGAGTATCATATTTATTTTTATCAATTATAATTATAAATTTTATGTATACCTAAAAAATATTAATCTCTTTTTAAAAAAGTCATGATCGCCTTTCAAAACCTGTTACAATAGTCATTGTTGGTAAATATACCACACTTCAAGACTCTTATCTTTCTATTATAAAGGCACTTGAACACTCTGGAATGAAATGTGAAAGAAGACCAATAATTAAAGTATGTTGTAGTAATAATGATAATGATAATAATAATGATAATAATAATAATTGGGAAAACAATAAATATTTTAAATAAAAGTGGGTGGAAGCTACAGATTTGGAACAGAATGATGAAGCAGATAAATATCAAGAAGCATGGAGAGTTTTAAGATCTGCAAATGGTATTCTCATTCCTGGTGGATTTGGAAATCGTGGTATTGAGGGTAAAATTTCAGCAGCAAAATGGGCACGTGAAAATAAGATTCCTTATTTAGGTGTTTGGTTATTTTATTATCATTGTTGCTGTAATTCTATATGTACTATTACTAATATTGATAAAAATTATAATTAACAGGAATATGTCTTGGTATGCAAATTGCTGTAATTGAATTTGCACGTAATGTTTGTAAGATGACAGGTAATAATAATTCTTTATATATATATATATATATAATTTACCAAATATTAAATATATTTAATATAATTAAATCTCTTTTTTATTTTAAAGATTCAGATTCTGAAGAATTTAATCCAAAAGCCACTAATCAAGTCATAATTAATATGCCAGAAATTTCCACAACCTGCCTAGGTGGTACCATGAGGCTAGGTTTAAGACCAACAGTCTTTCAACCAAAATCAGAATTGTGGTCAAAAATGCGTAAGTTCTATAATAATATTAATAGTATTATTATTAATTGTCATAGCAATAATAATGATGATGATGCTACCATCAATACTACCATTTTAGGCAAATTGTATGAAATTATGAACGTGACAGAGATTGATACTGGTATTGTGCAAGAACGTCATCGTCATCGTTACGAAGTTAATCCCAAGTATGTTAAAAATTTTGAATCATGGGGATTAAAATTTGTTGGACGTGATGAAACTGGACAAAGAATGGAAATAATGGAATATCAAAGTAATTAATCATCATCAATCATAAATCACCATTTTATTAATGATGTTAATTTTAAATTATTATTTTCATTTTTAGATCATCCATTCTTTGTTGGTACACAATATCATCCAGAATATCTTAGCAGACCTCTTAAGCCCTCACCAGCATTCCTTGGTTTTGTGTCGGCATCGGCAGGATTGACAATCGAATCATCATTCAAAAATTAAAACAATTTTATTTTATAAACTTTATTTGCCTTAATTTTATTATTGATAATATTAATTTTTTGTATTTAGTATTTAGTATTTTATGTTTATTAATTGTAACAAATGCCAGGTTATTCAAATCCATCATCAAAAGAAGCTTTATCTTTGACATTCTTTCTTTCTATTAAATAAAAATATATTTTAATTAATTAATCACCTACATTAACATATTAATATCCAAGTTAAAATATAAAATTTTACTTTTTCTCATAACTTTGATTTTTTCCAATACTTCTTTACGTTTCTTTTGTCGTTCTTGCACCTTTTCTACTTGGACTTTTTTACCAAATTTCTTCAATTCTCTTTGTCGTCTTGCATTCTCACTCGCTTTAATTTTTTGTTCTTCATCAATTAAATTTTCTCGCACTTTTCTCATGTGTTGATCTGATTTTATCATTTCTGCAAAATAATCATCCGGCCTTGTAAATGGTACTCCTGACGCTATAACTTTCTCCCGTCCTTCGATTGCTCCTTCTAATGCTTGTCTATAACTATTATTTTTTAAAAAAATATATATATTTAACATCATACGCACATACATGTACATATGTGTGTGGGGAAAGGAAATAAAATTTTTTTTTTCATACAATTCTAATTCACGCTCAACATCATTATCAACATCATTGATATTCACCGGCTTAGAAGTTGTAATTGATTGTGTTTCTATCCATGGCAAGTCAAGTTTAATCTGTTCATATATTTGTTTTAATGCTGACTTTATTAAACAAAAAAAATTTTTTGATTGTTAATTTTATTTTAATTATCAAAAAAATACGTAACCAACAATTTTTTAAAACATACTTTATTATTAATTATTATGCGTTGCTGCGGTATTACATCCTCATCTACGATCTCTGAATCTGATAAGTCTTCTAAAGAGATTTCTTCGGTGCTCATGATTTTCGAAATTAAAAACAGAAAATTGATAATTGAAGGTATTCATAAAACGATCGACACATCATTCGGATCACGGGTAGGGATCACATGGTAACAGAAATTAATAACAAATAAACCCTTTCCTGACACCTTTAGCAACGCCTTAATTTTTGAATATGATATCCAAAACCAGAACCTTATTTTTTAATGTAACTATTTCTTTATTTGTTAAATAAAAACTCCAGGTTCCTTTCTTTTGAGTTTAGATCACAATGCCTGCAAGTGAATTTGAATGTTAGTATATATTAATTTTCTGTGGACATAAATATCGTTGGACCTAAATTATTGTCTTAATGATTTATTAACAGCATTTTCTAATTCTTCTTTTTATTTTCCAGTTTATTTGATGTATTCAATAAACCATTTAAAGAATATGAAATTCAGCTAAACCGTACTGTTAAAGGCACAAAAAAAAGACCAGATTTGTCTGATGTATTTTATCGTCATCTAACTTATTTAATTCACAATGTGTTGTTTCTGGTTTCTTCTTTACAATTGCTTTATATAATTCAAATAGATGTGAATTGTTTGATATCAAAAAAAAAATGCCGAGCAAGAACATGGTAATAAAAGTTTAATTTTTAATTTTTTTAATTTTACAAATTATTCAATTTTATTAATAAAATTTATGTGATCAAACAGTTAAAAAAAGAAGAAATATGTTGATCTAACACAATTTATAATGTTAGTATCAGAGTACTATAAATTTTATATGTCGAAAAAAAATCATTCGTATTCAAAATAAATAAAAATCGCAATTTGTAATCACTTTGTTTATATATACGTCAAATATGCCCTCAAAAAACAATAAAGTATATTTTTTCATATCCGTAAGTATAAGGATTATTATTATTGATCATATTGTTGAAAAACAAAATTCTAAAAATTTTATTTTTTAAATAATAAGCATTGATATCACATCAATGGACTCAAAAGAGCGTAAAAATAAATCTTTGAAAAATAAAAAATAAAAAAAAATCACTACATAGACATCAAGTTAACGTAATTATAAGAGATAAAAATCATGACTTATGTATAATGGAAGTAGTGTGTCCTTTTCACCAGACAAACAAAAAAAAAAGATTTATGGACGTAAACACAAGCAAAGTTCACCGACAATCCCAACCAATACTTACAATTTAAAAATTGGGACAAGTACAAGAAAATAAAAGAGGAGATCTGATAATTATTATAAATAAGAATACGGAAGAGGTGAAGAAATTTTTTGATCATCCTGAATTATCAAAATTAATAATAAAACTTGGGTTTTTGTCAAAATTAGAAAATTTTAGAGAAAATCAGATTTATATGGAATGTGTAACGTTGATCACAGCGAACAAAAAAATTGTGTAAATATATATATACACAAAAGTTTATTCCTACATTACCACTACCACTAACACTGTCATTTCATTCTCGTTCTACTGCTACTACTGCTTTTAATGTTCCATTATTACATCTGATGCTATTACATTAGAGAAAGTTAAATCTTTCAAAGAAATTTGTATTTTTTTTTTTTGGTGATAAGAATGAATTAAATCTTGCAAAATCTCAAATATCGATAATCATGTTTCATTCATTTATTAAAATATTAGCTTGAATTAATAATCAGCCGCTATTAGATAATCAATTGTTATAAAAGACATTAAAAAAATTCTCTTTCTTCAAAAACGACAACAACAAACTTTTTTATTATCAAGCTACAACAACTACCTACGACGGCGATGATGACAACAGCAACAAAAGTTAACTATTGATACATTCCAAAGCCAGTGCCTTAAGCTGGTGTTGGATACAAATATCGGCCGACTGCTGGCTTAAGTTGCCGTTATTCGAATCTTCTTCTATGATGGTTTTTAGAAGGCTTCGTGGGTAATTCAGACTCACTTTTATTATATTTGTTTAGTTTACCTTCTTTTTTATTTTCCTTTTATTTATTTTTTAGTCAATTTTAGTTTCTTTATTTTTTTTTTCTTTTGATTTTTAGTCAATCTAGTTTTTATTTAAATTTTAATTTTAGTTTTTTATAAGTTTCATATTATTACATTAGTTTTTTTATTAAATTAGTTTACACATTCTTTTTACTCTCCACCAACTTCAGTTGATTATCGCTTCAAAACCCGACTTTGGGTTGAGTTTTCTCCAGAAAAAATGAGTGAGGTCGGTAGTTTATCCCTTGTTCGAAATTCAAAATAATCGATGGCGGTTACCGTGTTGGCATCCAACTAATTAATTTCGCGTCCCCATTGTCCTACGAGACCATGGGAACGCAATGTTTTGTTCCTTGAATCAATTATACAAACATGAAATAAATCATGATTTATGTATTTAAATAAATATTAATTCATGTGAATTGAAAGTTTGTACGCGTCCGTTTAATTTTCACCAAGAAATCGATGGATTCATCCATATTCCTGAAGCGAAAGAATTAGTTGTAAGCCAGGTTTGCCATAAGTCAATCAATAAATCATACCTACCACGATATTCACCTGAAGGTAAAGCATAAAAAGTAAAAGTTGCGATCTACTACAATTTGTCAACATTTCTTGATGTTTTCAACAACCTGAGGTAATCTGTCCTTTGAGGGTTTTGTATCTGCACGCTTACATTATAGTGAACGAACCGACTGACATTCATGTTATCAATCAATGTATTCCTCACACTAAATAATTCCTAGAGATGAATTAATATATAGTGAGACATAAATCCAATAACTATTAATTGTATTAATTATTTTTTTTTTTTTTGTTCAAACAAAAACGAACCCATGATTAATTGGTTATGTGACCATCAAAAGAAAAAAAAATTATTCTAGTCGTTAATATTATTGTTATTAATTATTTGTATTAATTATTAATTATTTATATTTTCAAAAACAAATTTACACTTACAACCGTCAATATACTGTCATTAAAGGGTATGCATGTATGCAACATTGCATTAATCCAAAAAAAAAAAACGGATCTATGATTAAACGATCTGGTGATAAAGAATTGTCATCCAACCATCAAATTGGTTAGCATTTTATTTTAGGGGAAGTTGTACAAAATAGGCTTATCCTATTTTACCTTGCCGGGTGGATATTTTACCCGGATGATTTTAGCGAATTTTCCGTCGGAATTTGTCCATCCTAAGGTTAACCTATTTCACCACGGTCCAGGTAAGATAGGATAAGCCTTTAGGAAAATGTCCGCATTAGGTGTTTAGACAACATTTCTATTTTTTTAAAAAAAGGGACTATGATTAAACAATCTGCTGGTGTTATATACACGGCCGTTATTGATAAATAATAAAAAACAATAGATAACAAATAAATAGCTTCTATTACTTTTCCTGTTAATTTTATTAAATTTTCTACACATAATACCAAGTCACTCGCTGTATTGAATGAGGATATACTCATAAACAGAAACTCACGAAATTTAAGCCAACATTTCAGGGTAATAGTACAACTCTGGTCCCGATTACTATGTCGATCTTCAAATTTTTTCACGTTATACACTTTTTATTAAAGGTTTTATTATAATTGGAGTTTAGTTGGTTCTATTTTATTAAATGTATTTCCAAAGTAAACAGAATGGCTTATAATTATTCGTACTGTCTTGAAAGACTTTCACAGAATAACTGCAATTAAAATCTAGATTCATTACCACTTTCATTAATTGTTATCATTTTTATTATCATAAAGAAGGTTTCCTCCTAAGAAGCAAGTTATTTAATATTGTAGAATGAATGAATGTAAATTTGTTAATGGTTTTCCTTTATTAATAATTTACTAGGTCATAGTTACTCTATGAAGAGTCCGAGAATGTGATAGGCATGGTGAAAATAATACAAACATTATTGATCGACTTTTTTTTTTGTTGAACGCGCGTCATACATGTTTATTATATTAATTGTTTTAATAATTTTTTTAAAAAAAAATTTTTTTTTAAAAATGTTACCACCCCACGGTCGTTTACCTTATTATCATCAAACCTTTAAAAAACGCGAAAATTTAACGTGTCGTTTAACTCACGTACATAAACTAATATCATTAATCGCCATTACACTGTCACTACTATCCATTTATTTCACATTTATACTTACAACCACTAAATATATAGATTATGAAATTCAAACATTGCAAAAACTACAAATTCATAAAGGTTTATTAATGAGTATAAATAACACTTTTTTAATTAATATGTTTACTGATACATTCATATTAACTTACACTCACATATAGATCCAGACAGTTGGCTTGAAGAGATTTATGGAAAAGTAAATATATCAATGTTGAATGGACACACATACTCACAATTATTAAATTTAAGTTCTGGCTGGAAATCATACTTACCTTTATCTTCTGAATTAACAATCATTTCAATAGTTAACGATCATGACAATATTGAAGCACAATTGAATTCGATATCAAATCAAACAATAAAACCAGAAAATATAATAATAATTACATCAAAAAGAATCGTGAATAAAATCGAGTATCTAATCAGGAAGAAGCACAATGATCTTATAATATCTATTTACGTTATGGACGCGGATAAATTAAAATTACTAGGTTGGCTACAACTTGCACAAAATATAAAAACAACTCATGTACTTCTTTTGGATTCTGGTGTGGTACTTGGCAAAAGATTTATTCAGAACATGCTTCATGTTGCAAACACCAATGAATATAATAATGCTCTATTGGGAACTATGGGTGCATACATTAAAGTTAATGGTGGATTAGTCAACCAAAAATCATTGGTTTGTCTGGCTGACCACAAATTACATTCAAACAATCATATTCAAGTGTTAGATTCGGTCACCAGTTCTCAGAAAGTTGATATGTTGACTAATATTTGGTTTTTCAAAAAACTATGGATCCCTATACTGTTTCGAGAAAATGTATTGGATGATGCGGGTGTTCCCTTTGGTTTCTATTTCACTTATGTTCTCAAATATCATGCAAATATACCTTCTTACATCCTACCTACTCATGATGAAGAATCTTGGGGTGACAGGAATTCTATACAACAGAGTACATGTGAAGATCTACAATCAAAACTGGATAATAATGCTATTTGGAACAATCAAATCGAACATGGTTATCCTCTGGTGTTTAAAGAATCATTGTTAAAGAATACAGAATTGAACAGAATATTGTTTGTTATTGATGGTTATTATCAGGAAAAAATGTTTAGACCATTATTTTGCAGATTATCATTGATCAATGATAATTTGATAAATGTGGTGGTGACTGGTAATTCACGAGGAATGTCTGCCTCGAAACTAAGATCCTCTCTTGTGGAAAATCAATATTCAGAATGTAAAAATATAGAAATCTATGATTTAGACATTAAAACAGATTCCCGAAACAGAATTTCTAGAAATGATGATATTGAATTAAAAATCAAAGTTTTTCATGGTGTTGGTCGTATAATACAGTTCCTAAAACCAGAAGTTATATTCTATTCTAAAATTGCAAAAGATGAAGTAATCCAAGGAATAACAATTGCTGCAAATGAAATAAAAAACATTACCAAAATACAATTGCCTTTGGACGAAGTACATTATGCGATAGATATTATTGCTGACTTGCCATTTAAAGCATTAAAAAGTAATTAAACATATATATATATAAAAGTTCATAATTCTATTTTATTTTTATGTTAAAACAACAACAATAATAATATCATCATCAATTATTTATTTTTAGATTGGAATTTGCCAAAAGTTCAATTACAGGTACTTACACAAAATCGGCCTAAATCCTTGAGACGTCTTGTGAATTCATTGAATTTATCATTCTATTTTGGAGAGGAAATTTCATTAACAATTAACATGGACAAAGGAGCAAAGAATAACACAATATCCCTTTCAAATAAATTTAAATGGAGACATGGTGTAAAAAACATTAAACACAGAGTGGTTCAAGGTGGTTTGATGCCTGCTGTAATTGAATCATATTATCCTTATAATTATAATGATTATGCTGTTCTGTTGGAGGATGATGTTGAACTGTCACCATATTATTATATTTGGACAAAATATGTAATTTTAAAGTATAGATACGGACCAGACCGAGAATATAGTAAAAGAATGTATGGGTTGAGTTTATATAATCAGAAACAAATGGAGCTTCCACTTCCTGGCCGTAGAAAATTTTCTGCAGACCTCATATTAAACAAATCAAAATATAAAAGTGGATCGCCATACCTATGTCAGGTTCCTTGTAGTTGGGGAGCAGTCTACTTTCCAGAAATATGGCGTGAGTTTCACGAATATCTTGCTGTTCGTCTAAATGATGTCAACAACTACAAAATTCAGGATATAAAAGTACCGCTTAGTAGATCGAATTTTTGGAAAGAGTCTTGGAAAAAATACCTTATTGAACTGATATATCTTCGTGGTTATGTAATGTTGTATCCAAACTTTAGTAATTACACTAGTTTCTCCACAAATCATGCCGAGAATGGTATACATATTCGTGCCCGAAAAAATAAACCTGCCCCAGGTTCCATATTTGACGCGCCGTTAATGAATAAGAACATTATTTTCAAGGAATTGCCTGGTGGTCAACTAGCCAAATATAAAGATTTGCCCGTGTTGGATTTATGGGGAAATCTTACCACATTTAAAACTTTAGTATATCGCGGTCAAGATCTTCAATCTAAAGTATCATTATGCCCACCAACTGGTAAAATTGATGAACCAACATTTGATCCACGTGATTTGTTTTGTGTTGACCTAGCTGAGAAACGTAAAGCAATGGCTCTGTCACAGAATTATTCAAGAGACATTGATATTATGATGAGAGTTTTTGAAGTGGTCACAAATTATGCAAATTTAAATCAAATGAAAATGGGACCAAAGAAATTTATTAATATATTTTTGAGTATTTTGAATGGAAAATATGCACCATAATAATAACATTTCAATAAATGTCTAAAAATTAATGGTGATGATGATGATGATGATGATGATGATGATGATAATGAAATAACTGATGACACTACTAACAACATTAATACATTGATAAATTTCAACGATAATAATACCTCCTCGTCACCATCATCATCAATAATAGAAGCTATTATGCTGAAGATACTCCAACACTTACAAATAGAAAAGAAAAATAAACAAACATTTAACATTAATGAATATTGGTTAATCAATTCAAAAATTGTAACAATAGATTTATTTATTTATTTTGAAAAAAAAAGATTAATTTATAGATTTTTAATTTTAAATTATAACATAATATTCAATACTGTTATGCGTGAAAATGTGAATTTGCATTTGCAATTAACACCCCAACAATACCAATAAAATCATGTAATTATAATTATAGATTCAATACACAATTAATTGTTAACAAGTGGAAAAAACATATATGATGAAAAATAATGAATTACCAACTATTTTCTATTTTGTTAAATCTAACTAGGAGAAACTTCCATTGGATCTTTTTTGATATTGAGAGTGTGTTAAAGAAGTGTTGGCCAGTATATATTAACTGGTGCTAATGGTTTGTGTATGTATAGGTAGGTTCACGAGAATGGTGGTAAAGTGGAATGAGATGCACCCAACAATGGCGATGGCAGTATTATTTCATAAACCTGCTCGAATTACTAATTAGTATTAGTGGATTAGTGATTGTAAAAAAAAAATTAATGTCCACCATGTCAGGCGACATCTCAAAAACGGAAAATAATCTAGTTGATTTGAGTATTAGTATTAGCATTAATATTAGTAGCCGGGGTTTTTTTCGGAAGCATTAAATACTAATGTTTCACCATATTATGAAATTTTAATTTTCAATACATTAATTAGTACTAGATCAGGAAATAAAACCGAGAAAAATGGGAGAAAAGAAAAATATAATGAATTTTTGACGTTGGGACGTTTTGACATTTTTTTTTAATTATAAATGTTAAAGCGTCCGACAACTCTCAAAAATAATTGAAATAATTGCATTCTTTAATAATCGTAACAACAATCAAATCAACCACAACAACAATTAGAATAATAATAATAATGACAAATTATTCATTACCAAGTGTTATTTTTATAATATTTCATTTCATAAGTATAATGTCAATAATATTATTGATACTTGTATTATTAAAATCACCTTCACATTCAACAAAATGGACAATATTTCAATTATGTTTAGCAGTGTTAGGTAATAGTATATTCTCAGTATTAACAATACTAAAATACGGTGATAATATATTAGAAGCTTTAGACAAACCAATTTGCATTATTCAGCAGAAGCTGTCGAACCTTTTCTTTTATCCATTATATTTATTTCCATGCGTTTTGGCATTTTATTTATGGTCCGGGACCGTTAATTCAAATTCAGAGGTTGAAAATAATCATTTCTGGACTTTTACAATTTTAATTTGGGGATTTTCTTTCATCTATAGTTCAACGGTATTGACAATATCAAGGTTTGAAGATAATTGGGGCGTGGTGGCGACAAATTTATCGTGTGAAGGAACTTATAATTTTAGATCAAAACGGTATTTGGATTGGCTTTTTCAAGGAATTACATTAACGATAGCATCTATTTCATTATTTTTCACAAGTAAGTTATATGAAGAGTTTTTCAAAATAAAAAGATTTGATATGTTATTAATATATATGGTTTATTTAGTACGCTCCATGACGATAATATGGCAAAGATGGAAAGTTCATAAAAAGAATCCAAATCGAAAGACTGCAAATGAATTGGATCACGCGATTAGAATGATTGTTTATGTCTGTTTGTATTGTATATTCGTGTGTTTTTATTTAATATTGGAAATAATGCAACAAATCAAATCAGATGAAAAATCTAAACATTATTATTATATTGGAAAATTTAATAGTTCACTATTGTGAGTAATAACCAATGTTAAAAAACTTTTTTTTTATTATTATCTTATATATAAACCTTACTAAAATTAAAAAATTATTTTAATTGAATGTGTGTGTGTGTTGTACGGCACATAAAGTGGAATATATATTTTTTTGATCTTTGGCACAAAAAAATCTACTATATTATTGTTACCTTGTTGTTATTATTATCGGGATCTAAACGATGATGAAACTTCCGACTATCTTGACACAGCTACCAACACTGAAATAAAAAGAATCTCAAGGGACACGGTAGATTCTGAGGCAATAACAATTGAAGTTTTGACGGAAAGTGATGCCGATAATGATCGATTTTCTGCTACATTTTCAGAAAATCAAAAAAGAATAAAACGTCATAGTTTACAGGACTCCACAAAGGGAAAAAGGACTTCAAAGAGCCGTAGAAGACACAGTGATTCTTCATATGAAAGAGAAAGAAGACACAATGGCCACAGGAGACATGATGATAGAAGACACCATGACAGACTACATTCAAGTAGAAGACACAATAGTGATAGCAGACATAATGATGTTACCAATAGAAGGGTAGTCAGCAACGTAGCAGAAAATAGCAGAAGGCTTTATTTTATTGATTTGGAAAATGAAAATACCGATAATAATAATAGTAGTAATAGCAGCAGCAGTAGTAATAATGGTAAAAATGTTGTTAATAATGGTGGAAGTTTTTCTAGCGAGCATGATTTGCAAAGAATTTGGAGACAATTTTAAAAAGTACACACTTATCCATTCATCCCCGAGACATCCATTCACCTACAATAATCACACAAATTCATATTATTTTTTTACATAAACTAATAAATTTAATACAATTTAATGACATTAATAAATTAATCTTTTTTTAAGAACACTTTTGCAATTTATTGTGTTATCCCAAATAATAAATCATTTTTCCGAATTTGGTAATTTTTACATTGTCAACTGCGGAAGTAAACTGGTTTTTCATGTACACATCAAGTACGAGTCTAACATTATTTCAATAATTTTAAGACAAGTTTCGTCAAATCCAATAGAGCACAATTTATTAAGATATAAATGAGTCTTTAAACAAGATTTTTACATAATCAATGTCACAATTAAGGAAAAAGGGTATATCTGATATAATAATAATAATCAATTCGTATTATTTACTATTGATTATACTCCTTTTACTAATTATTATTATTATGTTTATCAAAGGACCGGAAATTATTTTGTATCCTGAAGAAAAATATATATATCAACAATTATTTCAAATAGCTGATGAAGAGAAAAAAGGTTATATTGATGGAACACATGCTGCGAATTTTTTGAAAAAATCAAATTTATCTTCGGCTGCTTTGAGTAAAGTAAGCAAATATTTAGTTTTTATTACCACGACGAAAAATAATTTTAATAATAATTATATTTGATTGATATAGATATGGAATTTAGCTGATTATGAGAATCAAGGCGTTTTAACAACACAAACTTTTATTATTGTTGTTAAATTAATTGCTTTGGTTCAAAATGGTCAAAATCCTGATATGGCTCTGTTAAAAGCTAGTATGTTTTTTTGTGTATTCTTCAAGAATTTTTTAGTTTATGAATATTTTTTAAAAAAGTTTTTCTTTAGAGGTACCATTACCACGTTTTGAGGATATTAACATAGAAACAGCCTATATTATTACTGATGATAATCGTGAAAGTTACAAAAAAACATTCTTAATATTGAAGCATGAAGATGACCTTGTGGATGGTAATTTAAATTAATAAATAAATGAATATTTTATATATAGGTTATATATTATATTACGCAATTATTATTTTTAGTAAACATTTTTTTTTAAAGGTGACAAGGCAAGAGAAATTTTTTTGCAATCTAAATTATCATCAGAAACACTCTTTCAAATTTGGTAATAGATAATAAATAGATAATCTATTTATTTATTAAAAATTTTTTTTTGGTTGATGCAATATTTATAATTAAATTATCTAGGAAACTAGCAGACACAAAAAATAGAGGAAGACTTGATGTAAATGAATTTATCATTGCAATGCATCTAATAAAACAGTATATGTCCAAAAATATCAAAGAAATACCACAAACTCTTCCAAGTGGATTTTATGAAATGGCTGCCGGCGTTAATCTTGATGTACTTGCATCATCAACATCACCATCACTTTTTTCTGGAAATTCATTAACTTCTTCTTTAAATCCAGATGGATTTAATACAAAATCTCCATTTATAGAACATCCATGGGATGTGACACTCGAAGAAAAAACAAAATATGATAAAATTTTTGATTCTATTGATCAAATGAAACATGGATTTTTAACAGGTTAATAACAATTTTTTTTTTTTTGATTTATATATAATTTTTTCTTTAAATTTAGATTTTAAATTGGTATAGGTGACGAGGCAGCAAAAATTTTTGTGAAATCAAATTTGGATCAAAACACATTGGCAATGATATGGTTGTAGTTCGTTTAGTATTTCTTTAAAAAAAAAATATATATATATTTTTTTGTAAATAATATATTTATATTTGTACTTTTTTTTTTTAGGAACCTTTCTGACATAGATAAAACTGGACGTCTTAATCACGAGAAATTTGCTGTTGCTATGCATTTGATCCAAAAAAAGGCTAAAGGATTTCCATTACCAAACATTTTGCCAACAAGTCTTACTCCACCATCAATGCGTCATACTACTGGTAAAATTTTCCTAAATAAAAATCATCTGAAAATAAAATCATCATCATTAACATTTATATATATATATATATAATAATGTATCAATCTAAATTTTAAAACAATCGATACAAAACAGCTAGTCATTTTTTTGATTTAGAGGGATCTTCAACTCTTGGTCATATTTCAAAAAAAGATATTGGATCAACTTCTTCATCGATCTCACGTTATTCAACAGAAGACTTCTTTGGTTTAAATGATCCTACAGACTCGCAAAATAATTTTATTTCAGATAGTCGTGTTATTAAAGGTATATTATAAATATTTAAATTTGTTATAATTATCATTATAATATTCATATAAAATTTTAATAAAAAGTATTTTGATTTTTTTGGGGGGAATGATTCACAGAACCACAAATGATTGATTTTTTTGGCGACTCTGATTTACATACTAAAATTGCAAGTGAAAGTAGTGAAATAAAAAGTTATGGAACCCAAATTAATATTCTTGGCAATTCAAGTGATGAACTAGAAAACAAAAAAGCCAGTTTAAATTCAACTCTTGCTGATTTAGTAATACAAAAACAAGAAATAAAAGATCTTTTCTTACAAACACGCTCTTTGTATGAAGCTGAATTTAAGGCAGTAGAAGAAATTCAAATCCAATATCAATTGGAAAATGAAAATTTTGAGAGAGTTAAAGAAGAGCATGCACAAGCTAAAAGAGCTTTAGCTGCTATAAGATTGCAAAAGGAACAATTAGAAGAAAATATTCAAAAAGATAAAGATGAAATAAATGAATTGAGAAAGGAATTGAGAATAATCGAAGAAGAAACAGTATCAATTAACGCCAAAGTTAAAGACTTTCAAAAAGACAGTGCACAACAAAAAGGTTTACTTATGATTAATAAAAAACAATTGGAAACCTCCAAAGCTGAAAGAGAAAAGTCATTGGAGGTCTTAAAAACTTTTGAAAAAAGTAACAATCTACCTGATATAAACAAGGATGCTTTCGTTTCTACACCATTAACGACAACGTCATCAAATCATAATTCCTTTAATGTTTCTCAATCAATGTTTAATGAACCAGGAAAAAGTTCAGCTGATTTTTTTAATGGGCAAGGCGAAAATAAACTCCAACCAACTCACATTAAAAATAGCACAACTTCGACCATCGATCCATTTGATTTTGACAATTTTAAAAATGCAACATCAGACAAATCAGGTCTTGATTCTGCGTTCGCAACGCTTGAAGTTACAAATAAGAATAATGGTGATGATTCATTCTTAACTGACACCTTTAATTCCGAGAAATTTCCTTCTTTAGAGGAACTTGAAGGTTTAACACCTGGTAATAATTTTAATTTTGAAAAAGAAAACAAGACAAATCATTTTGACACAACCAAGCCAGATGAAAAGATTACTTCTCCATATATGAATGAAGATAAAGTCGAAAATACACTTAAAAACAAGCCAATTGATTTATTAAAAGGATTGATGAAACCTTCGACTAATACCAAAGATGCTCGTTCATCAGAAAATTTCGATTCTATTTTTACCAATAATTATAACAATAACAATAACAATAACAATAACAATAATGATAATTATAATTATAATACATTTAACACATCATCATCATCATCAACATTTAATACGTCGTCATCATCATCATCATCAAGAACATTTAATACATCGTCATCATCATCATCATCAACATTTGGTTTATTTGGCTCAGATAATGATATTTCATTTTTTGATCCTTTAGCTTCAAAGAATATTAATAAACCAATAAATACGAATAATGCAATTTTTGATTCTGCATTCGGAAGTACTTTTGAAAATGCATTTTTTCAAGGAAATTTCAAATCTCCTATACCTACTGCCACCACCATTAATAATGATAATGACGATGATATAGATTATGTAAAAACTTTAAAAGAGATGGGTTTTCCAAGAGAAAATGCTATAAAAGCACTTGAAGATAATGATTATGACTTGAACAAAGCAATATTTGCTTTATCTAACGTTTAAATCAGAGCCATTGTATTGAAATTTTAATTTTCAAATTAATAAATTTGTAATGTATATTTTATTTAATAGCATCAAAATTTTCCCTTTTAATTTTACAATCAACTTTGGTTTTCCGCCAATTTTTTGGGGCACAGATAATACTAAGGTATCATCCCTCAGTCGAAGTAATAATAGAAATAGTATTAAATAGATGGAAGTAGATGTTATTTATTGTTTATTATCAAAATCCAATTAATGAATAACCCGATTAAAATTGTTGGCCAGAAATTGATTGCATGATTACATGGCTTCGGATATTTCGGAAATTTTAATATTTGGCGAAGTTAGTTTCAGATTTGGGATTGGGAAAAATAGTTGTATTTCTCCCGAAACCTTAGCTCCTGAACCTATTCGAATATTATTTTGAATGCTCATTTTCGAATATAATTATTTCAAATACTTTCAAATTATAAAGAAAAAAATTATTTCATAATAATTTCGAAATGAATTCAACATATTAATATGATCGACATGGTCAAATTTTGTTCACGTGATTCACGTAAGTAGACCATGAGAAGTTCATTCATTTTATAAAAATAAAAACTAAAGTTTTCATAAAATTTAAACTTCCTTGGGCGTTATTACGAACATTCGTGTCTTCGCTTTGTAATAGTCTCAAAAAAGTTGCTCGTTATGGGTTCATTCAACCAAAACTGGATACCATTTAATCAAACTTTTCCTGTAAATAATATGTATGGCTATAAAGTCGAGGTTTAGTTACTATATATGCCTTTAAAACCTTATTTTTTTTTATATAGAATTTAAAATATTGAAAATCTTTGGACAATTATTATTATTATAATGATAATCTCCAGTTATTTATAGGGATGGGAATGGTTCGGTTTATAAACCGCCAGTTTGGCTAGTGAACCGCACCGACTGGCGGTTTACCACTGCGGTTTGAACCGCGGTTCAAACCCAAGTTTAACCGCAGTTTTATAATTTTATTGGTAGGGATGGGAATGGTGCGGTTTGGTTCAGTTTAGTTTATAAACTGCCAGTTTGACTAGTGATTGACAGTTTACTGATCACGGTTTTATAATTTTATTGGCCAAGTTAAATTTAAGAATTTTATTTTTATAATTTTATTGATCAAGTTAAATTTAAGAATTTTATTTTTATAATAAAATGAAAAAAATTATTTTTTTAAAAAAACAAATTAATTTGTTCCAATAATCAAACCACTTTTAAACATCATTACTATCTTCTTCATCAGAAAGTTCATATTCTTGTCCAATTTTTTCAGAAGTCCAGCTTTTTAAGCATAACAAACCTCGTGATGTTTCAGGATCTAGGCGATTCCTTAATTTAGATATTGTCAATCCTGCAACAGAAAAGGATTGTTCACATGGAACTGAGGTAGATTGTATTGCCAAGTAATCCTTTGCTAATTCAGATAGAGATGGAAAAGTTTCTTTATGTGTACACCACCACATGAGGGGATTGCATTCATTTTCTTTCGCTAATAATAAATATTTTTCTACTTCATCATTTGTATGAGTATTATTTGTAGGAAGGAACTGACTAGCCAAACTTCTTATATGTGTACGTGCATCAATTCTATTTTTAATTATTTGTGATGGTGCTGTTTGGTTATTGGTGGTGATAGTTGATGTAATTATTATTATTAACATTAAAATTTGAGTTGTAATGAATTAATTTACGTTTTATTGCAGTTACTGTTCTTGTAATTTCATCAGTTGTAAAAGTTGTGCTTTTGGTAGAAGGATCCAATAATGATGCTATCATTTTTGCTTCATCAGGTAATTTGAAATATTGTTCTAATTTATATAATATTGAGTTTGCTACTATATATTGTGTATTGCTAACTTCTATTTGTTTATGTAGGTTTTTCACTAGTGTCCACAACGTAAAATGAAATTCTCCAATTGTAGAATAATTGGATGATGAAAGCAGTAATGTTGCTGAATAAAACGGTGATAAAACATCAATCAACTCCTTTAAATAAAAATAGAGCAAATTTTTTATTTTAACATATGTCCTGATAATAATTAATATTAATAAATCTAAATGTTTTGTAATTAAATTAACACCTACATTTATTTTAAGCCAGTCATTTTCATCAGGATTGAGATGATTTAATATGTCTGGATGTTGTGCTGCCAACATATTTGCTTGTGTTTTAAATTGTTTCATTTTGTTGAGCATTAAATTTGTGGAGTTCCACCTGATCTCTACATCAAGTTGTGGTGATAAAAATTCAATTGATTGTGAATGAAATATTTGCTTAAAATCCTCCATAAGATTAATAGAATTATGAATTTTTTTCATAAAATTGCGTACTTTTTTAATTGTGTCATCATGAACTTGCAGCCCATGCTGTACAGCAATATTAAGTATGTGGGCACCACAACGATGATGAGTAACATGTGGATTATTATGATTAATACTCAACTCATTTTTTATTTCTCTTCCAAAAGCTACCATTGCAGATGCATTATCCGTTGTTATTCCTAATACCTTTGATGACACACCTAATTCTACTAAAAGAATTTTTACAGCATTCACCATATTTTCAGTACTATGTGATTCATGAAATGGTATAATGTCAAGTAAAAAATGGTTCAGTTTCCATTCATCATTGATATAGTGACAAGTAACCCCAAGAAATGATGTGTGAGAATTTTTCAGATGTCCAAATGTCCATTGTTAATGATATTTTATTTTTTACACCTTGAATATGGTTTTTAACATGTTGTCGTTACTTCGTGAATTTTTTGACAATTTGATTTTTAATATATTTACGACATGGCATTTGGTAAGGTGGATCAAATTTCTTAATCATTTCTATAAAAAAATTATCCTCTACAATAGAAAAAGGTTGCATATTCATAATTATCCAATTGATCATAACTTTAGTTTTCATAAAATTTTCTTTGGGGGGATATGGGTTAATTCGTTGAAAATTTAAAGTTGTTTGAACACATCTTTGATATTCATTTGGATGTTTGGTTTTGATGTGATTTTTTAAAGTACCAGTTGAAGTTGTCCCAATTCCACTATATGTAGGTGCACAAACACGACACTTCTGAATTTCATTATTTCTTGTAAAATATTCATCTACTTTTGAAGCAGTTCTAATTATTTGTGAATTATTAGGAATTTGAACAATTGATGATGATGAAGATGACGATGATGATGACGACGACGATGATGATGATGATGATGATGAAATGGAAGGTACAAGCATAATGTCATGTATTTGAATTGAATTATTGATATCAGGAATTTGGATGATTATGAACTATTATTGGTATCATTATCAAAAATTTGAATGATTGAAGTAGGTGAAAGTGCAGCATTATCAATTCTTTCGTCAATTGACATTCTTGCAAAAAAAAATATTTTTTAAGGAATATATTGATGGTTACATTCTAAAAAAAAATTAAAATAAACGTAGTTAATTTTTATTGGTCAGGACCACTGAACCAGGTTTGAACTGGGGTTTAACCGTGGTTGATTAAACCGCGGTTTGAAATGTGTAAACCAAACCGCATCGGTTCGGTTTCGAACCGCCGGTTGAACCGTTCCCATCCCTACACTTTAATCTGTAAATAAATAAATTATAATAATAACTATTGGAGTTTTTTTTTTATTAATATTAAATTTTTTTTGTATATATATATATATATATATGTCAATATTGTAACAATCCCCAAAATCACGGGTCATAAATTTTCGGGGATTGGACCATTAATTTTATTACCATATCGGTAATCTGGAGAAATTCGTATTCGAGAACCTAAACATGTATTTTTACATTTACATTTATTATTATATTTATTATTATATTTATCTATAGATTATGGATCGTACTTTCCGGGAAGTCCGTTATTTATTATAATTCTAAAGATTGTAAAATTATTATTTAATGATATAATGAACAACGAAATGGAGACAACTTATATGTATAACTCATATAACTCTTGTAATTTTACAACAATAAAATTACTTGTTCGTTAATAATTGTAATAAATTATTTGAACGTTTACAAATATAGTGTAATTGGTAATAATTAGTAATGTTATAATTAAAAAAAACGTTACAAATTAAATCACAACGCTTAGAGCCGATCAATTAGAGATTTAATAAACAGATAATTGTGATATCAATATATATATCAATACGATAAATATTAACCAAATTGTCAGTAAAATGATGGAAATCTTATAACAGATAATAAACATTTTTATTAAAAAATTGCAACACTTTTAAACTTCAAATAAATTTCTTATTTGTCGCTTTATCATTCTGCTCTTGTTTAGTATTGCATCTTTAGTTCTAAAATAGCCCCAATTGACCAAGTTTTCTAATGTTGATTTTTTTATCTAAGATAAATTCTATGATAATATTCATCTCATGTTGTGACCATTTTTTTTTTCTACGAGAGTCTTGATTAGATTCTTGTACTATCTGATGTTCATTTTGATAAGTTACTATTTGATGATTGTCTTGATCATCAGGTACTTGTACATCTTGATCAAGCTCCATTTGAAGATCATCTTGACTAATTATTTGAAGAACATCTGGAACATCTTGACTAATTATTTGAAGAACATCTGGAACATCACGACTAGTTGTTTGGGAAACATCTGGAACATCTTGACTAATTATTTGAGGAACATCTGGAACATCATGACTAGTTGTTTGGGAAACGTCTGGAACATCTTGACTAATTATTTGAGGAACATCTTGATTACGTTCTTGTATTATTGGAATGTGATTATTATTTGATGATCGGTTGGTATTATTTAATGACAGATCATTATTATTGTCAATCATCACCATCATATCCATATCGTTGTTTATTTCTACAACCTCATGTTCCTTTAAAAAATTAGGTTAGTTATGTGACATAGTAAAACTTCGTCATTAATAATAAAACAAATAATTGATGAAAATACTAATTCATTTCCATATATCTCTTTCAGGACCAAGAACAAATCAAGCGGAGCCAATGGTACTTCGAATCTTGAAATATCCACACTGTGGATATCTTCTACAAGACTCTTTAAATTGACGACATTGTTTATTTGCTCCAGATTAAGATTAGGGCTAAATGAATTAAATTAACTAGAATTTAATCACAACTTTTTTTTAAGTTGTAACTAGACCATCCTTAAAACACTTACCCAGCGAAATTGGCTATTTCCTTTCCTTTGCTTTTTCTTTCACGAGGCATGTTTTTAAAATTTTTTTATAAAAAGAAGTTGTGATTGATCGATGCGTAACACCTTAATTATGGTTTTTTTTTTGGTAGTACAGACGTGAATTGAATTTTTTTTGGAAAAACAATTTATTTTTTGCACCTAATTCGGACATTTTCCGAAAGGCAAATCCTTTATCCATAGAATAACAATGGGTAAAGCTTCTGCCTTTCGGGGTGTGTGGCGTGGATATTTCTGATGTTGATCTCCGGGATTTTGTCCGGATAACTCACTCTATGATCGACAAACTCATGGGTAGGATAATTATAATATATCCCTCTACAGGCAAAACCTTTATCCATGATGACAAATGGATAAAGGTTTTGCCTGTTCGGAAAATGTCCGAATTACCTGATTTTTTGACAGAGTCCAAGGTGACAAAACGTGAGTGTTGTTGTTTGGTTTGGTTTGGTTTGGGTCTCCTAAAGAAGAAATAACCAGAGGTACTATTTTTTACTTGTATTGATATAATGTGGTATCTTTTTTGGTTTATAAATATTTTAATTGGAAATCAAAACGCGGAGCAGATCTTGCTGGGTAATTACAAGATTTTCATTGATAATATTGATAATATTTTGCTTTTCGTAATCAATAATAATATTATTATATTATTATAATTACAAGATGTCAAGGCAGTACATCGTTGAAAAAGAAACAATTCAAATATACAATGTTTGATTATTGGAAAATAGCAGGCATTGAAGCACGCACGCTACCTTGAACACATTACAGTCATTCACACACCTTCCTCGTGTACACAAGGCTAATCTGACCAAGATTACCCCGATGATATGATATGCTACTGAGTTCCAGGGGGGGTAACATGGCCCTGGAGTTTACCAAGATTGCATCAATCGTCAATGATGCTTTCACTAATCTTCCCTCACCAGTGATGACCGCTGGCATGCTAGCTGAAAAGTTGCCTACAACGATCCCTACTCTAGGGCAAGGATGGCACTGTGATCAAGTCGCAACTCTGCTGATGAATTGTAGTGCCATATAAATATCCAGATCATCAAAGCAACGAGAATCTGCAACTTGTTTCAAGCACAGGAGGTTATGGTGACCTTGAAATTTCATTTGGGTTCTAATGTTAAGAGGAAAGTTGTAAAATAGTGTTTGTTTTGTATAATTGTTTTCCTAAATTCTCTGTTCTTTGATACTAACCAATTTATAATTTTGGGTATAGAGATGGCTCTGCAATTGATTTGAAAATTCTGCAAGTGGTTGCAACCTAGGTTGCAGAGCCATTTTTATTTGGGTAGGGTTTTTGCCCAATCAGTCCCCCTATCCTATAGATTAAAATTATCGCATGATTATATATATTTTTGTCAGCAATATGGTCAACAAGAAAAAAGTTATAAAATGTTTCAGATTTTGTTTGGTATGTTATGTATAAATTAATTATTCCCAAATTTTCTATTTAATTTTTATTTGACCAACTGAATTTGTTATTTTTTAAATGGGGGTAGGATTATTGGTGAGTAGACATGCCACAAACAAGACAGCAACTCAGGACTCAAAACTCGGAATTTAGGGAAAATCAAAACAATAACTTCCCAAGTTGCTGAATTTTCAAACCAGTTGCGGACACCAACTTTATTCTAGAGAGGGATATAATACAAAGCAATCATCACACAAGCACCAGCTATCAGTGATCAATGCCCATAGGGTAACAACCAAGCTTGGTCTTAGAGGAAGATAAGGGAATGTTTTGTCCAAAGCCTTCCAACATGTGTGCGGCTCAACCTGTGGAAAAACCCCATAGTTATGGGACGTGCAAAGCATGGTTATTGCATGTTTGTGACAGGAAATTTCAATTAAATCTGACACCTGTGATCAACCTCAGATTTATTATTCATAAGGAACCATAATTGATAATCAGGAAGAATAATTTATTATTGTGGACCCCAGAGATCTGGGTAGACAGGCATTATTAAAAGTTTTATTTATGCATGGCCTTGGTATCATTACTACCTGGGTGATGCAATTGTTTGTTATGTCAATGATGATATCAAATGTATTGAATAATAATCATGACCATCATGAATATTTGTTGGATGGAGGCGTTCACATACAAGGAAATGATTAAATAGCTAAGTCATGTTTATTTTTCATATATATAATTAATTAATTATATTTAAAAAATTATTATTTTATTTCACCTTTGTAATGGCATTAATTTCAATAATTCTGAAATTGTTTGTTAGTGTTAATGATTGAATCAATCACACATGTGATAGTCAGTTTAGATGGCTTTTTTTTAGAAAAGGTTTAGTTGAATTAACACAAAAAAAAGATTAAATATTTGCCGTGTCACGATCTCCTTCCAAAGCTCGCAAATCGTGCGACTTCCGTGCAGGTTTCTCGCTGATTGTCTCCTTTTGCGTTTAGCCGCACTTGGTTTTTTCGGCTTTTGGCGCGATCAATGTTTTCACCATATTTAGCAAAAATTGTGTCGTACGGCAAATGTTCGTTTCATATAAAGGTTGCAATTGCAATTGAGTTGCATTGAATTGAGTTGCATTGAATTGAATTGCAAGCAATGCGTTGTAATTGCAATGAAACCGAAAAATCTCTGTTTTTAAACTTTTTAAACTTAATTTTTTGGGAAAGAATTTTTTGCTTTCGCTGGGTGGTGATTTCAAAAAAAATTTTTTTTTTTTTTTATTTTTCTGAAAAAAAAATTTGATCTACATAAATTTTATTGCAAAAAAAAATATATACAAGTAGAAATTAGAAATGAAAAAAATTTGATATACGTAATTTTTGAATAATGAGAATTATTCAGTGTCACAACTCTCGTCACCGTTGTCATTTACCACTGTTTCGTTTTCATTATCATCGTCATCATTTTCACAGCCTTTATTCTTACTGACAACTTCGTTCATTGTGTGTGTCAGTTTTGTTGCCCTTGCTGTGCTTGATTCTTCTTGTGGATCAAGGTCTATGCTTCTTCTTTTTTTTGCCCGACTCCCTGATGTGATTTGTGGTCTTTCTCTTGCTGTTGGAACTCATGAATTGTTCCTCAAAATCCAGGTGCTTGGATTTTAATGCTTTGCGTGGGGATTTCTTTTCATCGTTGTTGTTGGTCTTTTCAACACTCGGATAAGTCCACTCGATTTCGCTTGCAAAGACTTGTGCAAGCTTTCTGCCCAGAAAAACCTCGCCTGCTACAGTAAAAATTTGTTTCCCGTTTTTTGTAGCATTGGGAACACCACCGTGACGACCATTATCAGGATCATAAAAACATGGAATGTCCATTGATGTGTATCCACCTTTAAATGGGTTGTATGTTCTTCGAGACATAGTGAAGTAATGTTTGTCGTTTTGATTTTTTGAAGGTGTTACACACGGAGCAGTTATGACACCATATAAAGGACTAATTGGCAGATCGTATATAGTTGGTTCGTCTTCTATGGTTTTCAGGTCAAGTAGGGTTGATTTATTCACTATGACCTGGAGTGTGTGACAAGAAATATGTTATTTTAATTATTGTTATTTAAAAAAGCAAGACAAAAAAATAGACAAAATACTCACAAATAATTGCGATTCGTCGAATATGTATTTTCCTGCAAACAACATGATGGTGTTTTCTTGAATCTCATCAATTAAATTTGCTTCGTCCACATTGAATGCCTTGCATTGGATGTCTACATATTCATCATCATCCAATCCGGCTGTAGCTGTGCCGCTTAAGGTTCTGGAGCCATTAACGGACTTGACAAACACGATTGCGGTCAATATAGTAGACATTATTCTTTCGTTTGATGTTTAATATTAATAATAATGAATGAGATAGGGCCAAAAAAATAAAATTGAACACGGATCAATGAATTATTTTGTGTGCAAAGAAAGGTTTTATTATATATTGTTATTTCGTGAAATTTTTTGAACGCGGATCAACGAATTATTATTTTTTTTTTTTGTATATGTGCGAAAGATTTTGTACGAATTTTTGCTTTTTAATGTTAATAAAGATAATTGTAATTATTTAACAAGAGATAATTAATTAATATTTAATATCAGATAAGAATGAAAAAAAAAAACTTTGAGTGAAAGGTTTATTTTATACATGTTTTTAACAATCATCAAAATTTTTTGTTTGTATTTATTATCGCGCACGAAAACCACACGTTGTTCTGTAAATGAAATAAATGAAACGAAGCCATACATTGTTCTATAATTAGTAATGTCAAGTTAAGTAAAAAACATTAATTCAAACGAAGGAAAAACCTTCTTGTGGATTATCATATTTTACTTTATTTGTATTTATTATCGCGCACGAAAACCACACGTTGTTCTGTAAATGAAATAAATGAAACGAAGCCATACATTGTTCTATAATTAGTAATGTCAAGTTAAGTAAAAAACATTAATTCAAACGAAGGAAAAACCTTCTTGTGGATTATCATATTTTACTTTATTTGTATTTATTATCGCGCACAAAAACCACACGTTGTTCTGTAAATGAATAAATGAAACGAAGCCACACATTGTTCTATAATTAGTAATGACAAGCTAAGTAAAAAAATTAATTCAAACGAAGGAAAAACTTCTTGTGGATTATCATACTTTATTTTTTTTGTT